TGAGCGCCTCCTCTTCCTGCTCCTCCTCTGTATGAGCGCCTCCTCTTCCTGCGCCTCCTCTGTGTGAACACCTCGCCATCACTGACGTGTTTACTTCTCCGTGTGACTGGTCATGTCTGAGGCGTGTCACATTTTCTCTGGGTGAAGGTGGTTCGGTCAAACCTCCCGTTTAGAACGTGCACATCATCAGTACGTGCACATCATCAGTACGTGCACATCATCAGAACGTGCACATCATCAGTACGTGCACATCATCAGAATGTGTACATCATTCGAACGTGCACGTCATCAGTACATGCACATCATCAGAACGTGCACGTCATATTTGTGTGTACTTTGTGGTCCGATGCTGGACTGAGAAGGTTTGTGTGGAGGTGAGAATGTTCTCACGGCAGGTCCAACATGGGCCTGAACGTGCGCACCGTTGATACATCCCGACGTGCGTGAAACCCGGCGCACACCCTGAGCCGCCGGGATCTGTGCACTTGCATGGATCATTTGGAAGCACAGATGTTTCTTGCAGTTTGAAAAACTGTTGGTGTTTTTTCTTCTGAGACTAATTTATCTTCATACGCTCATGTTAAAGCGCACGTTAGTATCAACCGTGTGTGTGTGTTCACGTGCGCAGCCATCCTGAACGAGCTCCTGCAGAGGGAGAACCGAGTTCTCCACTTCTGGACCTTGAAGAAGCGCAGACTGGACCAGTGCCAGCAGTACCTGATGTTCGAACGCAGCGCCAAGCAGGTCAGAGCGCGACGAGCCTCCGTCTGCATCGTGCTCCGGTTCTCATCGCTGCATCGTTGTGATTGTTTGTTTGTTTGTTGACAGGCCTTGGACTGGATCCAGGAGACAGGTGAAGTTTACCTGAACACACACACGTCACCTGGAGGCAGCAGTGAGGAAACACAGCAGCTGCTCACTGACCACCATCACTTCAGACTCACTGCTAAGGTGCACTCTGAGTGTGTGTGTGTGTGTGTGTGTGTGTGTGTGTGTGTGTGTGTGTGTTAATGAAAGCTGAGCTCTGACATCATCAGTGTGTGCCTCTGTCCCAGTTTCCCTCTCAGGATAACTTAACTCTGTGAGTTTGTTGAATAACCCTCTTTGGATAAAGAATTTAACATGAATCTCCTTATTTCAGCTAACGTTGACATTTATTTAGTAAACTACATAAAACTAACACATGTTACATCTGGGTTTCTGCTGGAGCATCACCTGACCTGTGTCTCTGTCACTCCGCCCTCTCAGCAAACCAAGGAGAAGGTGAAGCTGCTGATCCAGCTAGCGGACAACTTGGTGGAGAAAGGCCACACCCACATCTTGGAGCTGAAGCGCTGGGTCAGCACGGTGGACCGCAGGTACCGGGACTTCTCGCTTCGCATGGTCAAGTACCAGGAGAACCTTGAGAGGAATCTGGGGGTCAGCTCTGAGGTTAGACCCCCCCCCCCCCACACACACACACACACACCCCAGTCTGATTAACTCAACTGGTGGACTCTGACCCTAACCCTCCACTCTGCAGGACAACAAAGACTTGGAGTTGGACATCATTCCTGCGAGTCTGACAAATGATCCTGAGGTCAAACTGCGCGACCCAAACCACGAGGTCAATGAGGAGAAAAGGAAGTCTGCCAGGAAGAAGGAGTGAGTACTGTACAGGAAGTGATAATTAGTACTGTAGAGGAAGTGAGAATGAGTATTATGCAGGAAGTAAGACTTAGTACTCTACAGGAAGTGAGAGTTAGTACTGTACAGGAAGTGAGAGTGAGTACT